TAGAGTACAATTTCTCAAGTTAAGAAGACGATCTTGATTACAATATCTCATGTGACGAATGTGGTCTTGTTTTGGGGTGAATAAACGGTATTGTTTATAGTACAATTTCACGATGTAAATGGTCTCGTTTATTTGAGTATGACGCATTTAAAGCTAGCAAGATAAGTGCGAAGAGTTTATACCATTTCTAATAGTTTGTTTTTTCTTACTTCATCTTCATTTTAACATTACTCTAGTTTACTATGCTCTCACACTCAGGGTGGGGAGTTTCACAGGCTATAAAGAATTCAAGGAAAAGTACGACCTTCCAAATTCAACATATTCTCACATATGGTCCCCTAGGGACTTGGCATCGCGAATAAGTCATGCAATCACTTATGCATGAGCCATAATTTTTAAGTATAACATATCATCTATCGCATCTTTGACTTCCAAGGCTGAAATAACTGAAACCTTTTAGATGAAGATGTGTGTATTGTATCGTTCATTGTTCTATTCCTTCTTAAACCCATTTGACGCGACTAGCAATGTTGTTAACCTATTTCAATTACGTTATTAAAGCCCATGCATTGAGAAAACCTTTGATCGCCCATTTTTCATTTCCACAGAAACGACTGTATATGCACAGTGCCATGAAACTGCGTTAATCCTGTTGTCACAGAAATGACCGTCTTTGGCAATTTAGACTCAGCTCAAGAACGACTGCAGAAGCAAACACTCAGCCGATGGTTCAATTTCCCTTTCATTAGATAGAGAAGTCACTTGGCTTTCGATTAACTTTAAATTTCCCTCGCGTGGAACTCCGATTTCCGATCCGAAAATAGCAACCCTAATACAAGGAAATAACTAAAGAATAAGCACGCTGTTCCCTGCCGAAAATAGAAAATATGTGCCAGCTCATTAAAATCGAGTTTTCATCAAAAATAGGCTAAAATCAACACATAAGTCTGGAAGCATTCAAAAATTTCAAAGCTTCTATAAAGGGAGCCTCACTTATAGATTTTTAAAATCCACCACGTTTGAAGAGGAATATCAGCTGAAATAATGTTCATCCAGGGGGTCAGTGGGGGTTTCTTTGTAGATAATAAAAAATATATGTTAGTCTTGATGAAATATCCAAACTTAAATATATTTTTACACTGGGCGATGATCGTTGAATGCCCCCCCCCCCCCTGCACTAATTGTTGCACCTTTAAGTTATTGACGAACTGGTTTGTCTTATTTAGCGGGCTGGTATTCAATCTACATTGGGTATGAATATAAATTGTGTACTACACCAGAGGTGATACTCCGTATTGTACAAAGCAGGTCTTTGAGTATTTTATCATTTTTCTTTGTCATCATCTTGCATAAAAGTGGCGATGATTGGCGACAGGCGCAGCTGGTACGCTGTAAAATGTTCACCTCAGAAACCATGGCTGTTGAGATATTCGCAATTAAAAAACACTTCAAATGTGCTCAAATTAACTGATATATTCAGAAAATTGTGACTGATTCAACCAATGAATAAGGACCTTTTGCAAGTAGTTCCAAGCAAGTTCGTTAGCTGTGCAGTAACATTACTAGCATCAGATCCAACCGGCTGCCGTTCCTTGTTGAAAATTGGAAGTACGTGACACCCTGTTGTAAATAGTTTGGCACCCCTGTCAAAATGATGAATGAGCTATTTTGTCTAAAATAAATAGAATTAGGATTTTGCACTCTGATCGACAGGAGTGAGAAAAAACTGTTGAGATCACTAGGGTGATATATGGGATAACAAGTATCACGTCTTTGAATTAGTCAATAATATACAGGGTGTTTCATAATGGCCGTCCCCTATCAATCATTAATCCTAGACTGGATACCTCCATGTGTTTTTTTACGCCCACAACTTTGATTTAGCTTGAAGTACAACTGGCTAAATATCAGATCAAATGCCCATTTGATCGATGACATACGATCGAATAGCAACATTTTATTAAAAAGATTAAATCCATTTATTAAAATTAAATCCATTTATACAAGTAGAAACCATAAATCAAGCAAATTAGGATGATGGTGACTACCAATTCGCAAACATAAATTATGTTCCCAATTATCAACCATGCCAATTTTAGCCAAGAAATAAATAAAAGCTTTAAAATGTTATGTAGGTTAAAGTGCTGGGAGATTTAAGATTGGCTGTTGAAGGAGAGACGGTCAAAATGAAACATCATGTACGTGGGACAAAAATCATGTTTTTGAACCTGCGTGCATGAATCTGTGAATTTGCCAGCTGCTTTTGCTAAATCATTTTGCAAAAAACAGCATTCGCCAAAATTTTCGCCAAAAATGCTATCATAATTTTCGGCAACTTTATAGAATTAAAGCACTGAATATATTCTTCCAACTACCAATATCCCTAGCATAATATCAACTGGGTGCTACATCCTATTGAACTATAATGTTTTCGCAACTATAATAAATTCTAAAACAATGTACCCTCGATATATTCTGCTAACCTGATCAAAAATGAAAAACAACAGTGTGTTATAGGATGTAAACGGCATACACGAATCTTTATTGAATCAAGAAAGTCGTCTATCTGCCGTATACATTAAACTCAAATATTACTCAGCGTTCCCATTAATGCAATATTTTGATGGCAGCACTTATCAAAGTAAAGAACAAATGGGAGCAATGCATAGTCACAATACACTACACTGACACTTAATGCTATACAGATGACAAGAACGGTATAACTAGTTTATATTTTAGAGAAACATTACGAAATTGAAACGATGCAAGTGAGATGTTCTGAGCGGGTCGGGTCATTAAGATGAAACAACGTCCCCGATGGCACTCTGTAATACAGCTTTATATATCCCAACAGAATTGCAAATTCAATTAGCTCCATCCGACTAAAATAATGAAGCAAATCCACAATGCAATACCGTTTCGTGCTATATTTTCGTTAGATCACCTATGATACAAAATTAAGGCAGCCTTTACTTCTTCGGCTGAAGTTAGCAAGTGGACAAAATGTCAGAAATTGCATTTTTGAATGATTACTGTAGATTGGGTTAATTTGGCGATACTTAATTTGGCGATTTTGCCATTTTTGGCATATTGGCGGCTATTTAATTTGGCGGATTGCAAAAAGAAAAAAAACATTTTAAGGACCACTGGCGATATTCACCACGTTTGTACATTTTTGTAAGATCATCCTTTACATTTTGTACCTCGATCTATGCTGCTACCATACTGCGTTTTTCCCTGAGTATTAATGAGTGACTGACCAGTTCTGAGCCAATTTATGAGAGACATTTTTTCATAGTGAGAGAGGATGCCTATATGGAAAACGTGATTTCTCTTAATTTCTAAGTTGTAGATGCAATAAAGTATATCATTGTTTCACGTTTTGAAGAACACACACGCTATCAACACATATCTACACAACACAATTCAAGAAGATTCCCGCTATACCTGTATTTGGGATTCCATTGCATTTTCAATTTGGGCCACAAAGCTAATTAGAATAAAAATTAGAATGTAGTTTATTTCCATTGTAACATTCATTATTATAGCATCAATAATGTGGGTAGAAATTGCAGAACATGGGTAATGCATCTTATATAAAGACAAATACGATCGTGCTGCATTCGAAAATACATTCCATATAGTATAAGTATTGCATAACGATACACATGAGAAAAGAAAATTAAGGAATCCTTTTATTGCTATTAGACTTATATCTTATGATCACCACTATATGCAATTGTTATTTTAATTTTCTGTAATTGCTTGGAAAGATGTCAGAGCGTTACTTGACTCGCCTTTCAGAAATGTATTCAAAGTTAAAGATAAAGATGTCTTTACTAGTCGATGGAAATCGAAATAACAGTTGTACAGCCAAAATTAAGTTTTAGGACATGTATAGATGGCAAAAAACAACCTGTTGTTTTAATCATATCTACTCACTTTCTGTATACCTTGTAAAATGTATTGAAGTATGTACACTCCCCTCCATAAGTTTGGCAATTAAAGAGGCTTTAACACGTAGTTCAATGGGGAGCAAAGGCTGCCAAACTTATTGAGGGGAGTGTACCAAGTAATACCTGATGCGACTAGTATTTCCTCTAATCCATTTTGAAAACATAAACGTAAAAAATACCACGGCATGCCATACCGAACCATACCATACCATGATTCATACCATACTCCATCATACCACACCATACCAAACCTTACTATATCATTCTATAAATCATACCATACCATACGAATACAACGCCACACTACACCACACTTCACTACACTATACTATACACACGATAATATACTATACTATATAAAGAACGAGAAGTGACAGGATTGTAGTAGAATAGGGAACAATAGGAAGCGATAGGGCACAACAAAAGCCCGTAGTTGTGGCAGAAGACCAGAGAATGACAGGTCTAGTAGGGGTTGGACACAAATGGAGTAATGGACACCAGCTTTGTCGGAGACCAAAAGGAATAAATATGTAAACAAGACAAAAAGTATATGAAATAATGCAAGAAACAAATTTCCCGGCAAAATCCTAACATCCCAAATTATGATCTCGCGCACCCTTCTTCTAGCACTTCGTTCAGAGCAATCGTGATTCTTGCCTTAGGCAGGACAGGCACCGAACGAAATTGCTTTTGGTGATATGCTAAAGCACGAAGAAACAGCACTCAACATCCCATTCCCGCCCCGGCCATTCAGAAAAGCACTAACTTAATCCAATACCACAAGATCAGATCCTGCTCATTACTGAAGCCACATTATACATGTTAAAGAATAATTGAAAAGGAAAGACTTTCAATACCCCAGTGCCAGAGATAATTGTAGTGCCCATAAAATAAATGGTGAGTTCCGTCTCAGAGGCGAACAATAAAAAAGCAAATATGATTTTTTTACAATTTTTTACAAAATTATCTAATAAAACTACTGTTAACAGTGACATGTACTGTAGTATGTTTTTCTATATTGATGATGAGCAAAAAAAATTTAGAATGGGAATCCTATCGTCGGGGTCAGGGGCAGGATGGCAGGCAGGCAGGCAGGCAGGCGACAGGCAGACAAGTGAGTTATTGCAATAGCTCACCATGTGATAAAAAAAACGGTGCATAATCACAACACAGAAAGAGTGACAAACTCCAGTCTAAAACACAGTTTCGGTACATGTCCAAAGTGAAGATACTCATGGTGATATGCCAATATGGGTAGGCTAATTAATTCAATAAATTATATAAAATTCCGTTATGACGAACTGATTTAAACAAATGGGTACATAAATAAGTTAGTAATGATTTTCCTTATTTCATCCCACACCATCAATGGAGCACTTGCGGCTGTGAATTGCTGCACCAAATATGATATCAGACGCAATCAGTGTAAACTGTCTGAATTCAAAGCTTACACAATCCAAAATCGGGGCAGACATTTCACATGATCAAGCCATGCAGAGTGCCCAATTTATTGAGAAGTTGAATAATGCAAGAAACAATTTGGTCCACAGGCCCGTAGCCAGGATTCGCCAAGGGGGTTCACTTTTTGGTCCAAAAATGGCCAAAATCACTTAAAAAGTGCTCAGAATGGTGAAAGACTGCATGATTTTGAAAGATTTTTTTGGCATGTGACAATTTTGGTCCACAAATGGCCAAAATCACTTAAAAAGTGCTCTGAATGGTGAAAGACTGTTTCTTCTTGTTTTGGGAAATGTAACTACATTATGGGAACGCCGATGGGTAGCAAATCCCGATGAATATTTTTTAAAGCAGCGCAGTCACTTTAATTATGAGACCATTCCATTATGTTTTTGAAAATGGTTGTCAAATCACGCAAATTACTTTCCGAATTGAACTGCACATATATGGCCTTATACAAATGAAAACTTGCTTTTGAGTAGACTCGCATCTTGATAGAACTATGGATATCAAATATGAACAAAATCGAGCAACTGGTATTTGAGTAATATCCCTTATAGACGAACGGTCGGATGTGTTATCTATATCGTTCCGAATATCGTTCGGTGAATAAGTCTATTATGAAAAGTTTGTCTTCTATTTATAGTTTTTTTCATTCACATTGTATTGAAAGAAAACACCACATAAAACTATGTAAAATACTGGTATCGTGTACAAACGTTACAGAATATTATGAATTCATTGAATGGTTTACATTATGAATTCTTCAATGGACAGGATGTTGCTATTTTGAACATTTTTATTCGCACTCCTGCAATACAGTATGATACAATTAACATGCAAAATGTCACTCATCTGCCATGTGTTACAGACGCCGAACACCAACCGCCGAATGCCGAACACCAACCGTCGAACAGCGTCCACAAAAGGTTGGAGACCATTAAAATGCTAGATATATATTTAGATGTGATTTCATATGATATGATGCAGTATTTACCAAACTAGAGACGCCACCACATCCTACAATTGTTAAAGACAGATCCAGAGATGTAGGGTGACACAATTGCAAGCAGCATTGCCTGCCAATAGTCTCTCTTCTTTACCATCTTAAATATTTATTTATTAGACTCAAAGTGTAAACAACTGGATCTACACATTTATAGAAACACATAAATGTTAAAATCATTAATTTTCCTCGAATATAACATGAACTTTGAGTGTTTGACAAGTGAATAAAAAAGGTAACAAGCCACAGGGTGAACAGAATCGCACCCTTGAACAGAATACACTTTTCGGGATGGAAAATTCAAAATGGCCAGACTGCCTAAAAACTAATCAGTTCTAAACTTTCCATAGAAACATCTCTAAAATTTAAGGATGAATCCATGAAACCTGTAAACAACCCTCAAGAGACACGTTTTAAGGTATTACTTCACAGTGTATCAGCTTTTTTCTACAATTCAGATTTTCCTGAAAAAATCATGGTAAAAGTTATACTGGTGTATTACAAAATATGTGAAAACTGGAAAGATTGACCATTTAGTTATTTCTAAAAAAATGTTTTAATTTAACATTGCTCTCAATGGGAAATTATTTTTTATTTTTTAAACAAGCCTTCACAGACACGATTTTAGGACGAAAAATCCAAAATGGCCGCCTTAAACTAATCAGTTCTAAATTTTTATAGGTAGAAACATCCCTGAGAATTTCAAATGAATCCCTCAAACGGCTTGGCTGGAAACCTGTAGACAAGCCTTGACAGACAAGATTTTAGGACGGAAAATCCAAAATGGCCGCCTTAAACTAATCAGTTCTAAATTTTTATAGGTAGAAACATCCCTGAGAATTTCAAATGAATCCCTCAAACGGCTTGGCTGGAAACCTGTAGACAAGCCTTGACAGACAAGATTTTAGGACGGAAAATCCAAAATGGCCGCCTTAACATTTACCCAGAATGCCGAAAAACTGATCAGTTCTAAACTTTCATAGGCAGAAACATCCCTGAGAATTTCAAATGAATCCCTCAAACGGTTTGGCTGGAAACCTGTAGACAAGCCTTGACAGACAAAATTTTAGGACGGAAAATCCAAATTGGCCGCCTTAACATTTACCCAGAATGCCGAAAAACTAATCAGTTCTAAACTTTCATAGGTAGAAACATCCCTGAGAATTTCAAATGAATCCCTCAAACGGTTTGGCTGGAAACCTGTAGACAAGCCTTGACAGACGCAATTTTAGGACGGAAAATCCAAAATGGCCACCTTAACATTTACCCAGAATGCCGAAAAACTAATCAATTCCTGAAACTATTAGAATACTAGTACTTTAAATTAACACACTTTCTTGTGAATAACAGGTGTTTTGAGAAAATATTTAACGCAAAATACCGCCATAGTAAGTTAGCAATCCAATGGTTTACAATATTGAGATACATTTTCCATCATTATATACAAAGCAGTAAGCATAGAAATGTTGAAAATTGACATAAACTTTATTTATATGCTCAAATGTATACATTTTAAATGAAACAGTAGATTTAGTTTGTCACTTAATATTTCATTCCTTGGCTCTATGGTTGTACTGCAATGACTTTCTATGAAGTTGCTTTTTTGGAATTTTTAAGATAAATTGTATTTCAATCAATTAACCCCCTGTTGATGAAATGATTAATTAAACAACTTTGTAACTAGCGAACATTCGCAAGAGGGTCAGATCCTCAAGGCTGACACTCTCGCAATTCCGATGGTACAATTTGCGTCCGATTTATTTCATCATGCCGACTTGTCTCGTTTGCTAAAACATGTAAAACAAGTTATGTCAAGGAATGATATGAGCCAAATATACGAGTATTCTAAAATTGAAACATTCTTTGAAAATATTGCTCGCTAGATTTGATTCTGCTTTTAATAGGCCTGGTGGATTTATAAACGTGCCACCTGACCTCATCATATCTTATCAAAACCCTTGAAAATTTTCACAGGTCTTACTTGCAAACAATTCAAAATCAATTGTTTATTTCCTGACTAGTTATTCTACAAGTTGGTTCCATAAATCACTGTTATTCATCCCCATGTGTCAAAATGTTGTTTTTTAAAAAAAGATTGAAAATCAAATTGTAAAAACATGGAAACATTATCAGGGCCCATATTGAGCCCGCTTAAAATTTGAAAAATATGTCCGGTTCAAATAAACTAAGCATTGAGATCCACTTCAAACACATACAACTTGCACCAATATAAGGTCAAATATACTAAACATGACATTTACGATTTTGAAATGGTTGGGACTTGAAATATCGTTATTAAATTACTCACTTTGCTTAAAACATTTGCTCCCCGGAGTGATCCAGTTACAGTAGAGTATACACTCTCTCCCAAAAATTTGGTAATATCAACTCTCCCTTTGCTCAATTGCAAACCATTTTATGATCGGCAATTCAAAAAATCATCACATTTGTCACAAATATCTGATCTAGTGTAATTTAAGAAAAAAAGAAATATCAAGCATAAATGAATTCAATACGTCATCCCATTAGAGCCAGGGGTGGCACACTTTTGGAAGGGAGTGTAAAACTACTTAGAATAATTGATTGATTCTCGCTCAAATTACAATCATCACGTAGACCCAGAGTACTATATATCTAGTTCTTTTAAAATTAGGTAAAACAAATTAGATGAATTACCCCCGATTATGGATAAAGACTCGCTAATCTCAAAATGTATTCAAGAAATAGGCTTTTCCAATTCGCCCTGTGAACGATGCTTAAGGTGTGATGCACCGATGGAAAGGGGGAAATCTCGATTGATGGATTTAATTCGTTTTCATAACTCGGGAATATTTCAATTTCCTTATTGTGACTCAAAGATGTTAATCGGCGTGGCACTTAAGCTCAAGGTCACATTAGTAGGTTTTCTACCAATCTCAAGTTCATAATCATTTTTTAACTCTGGGAGTAGTAATTTTTGAACTATGCTACGCTTTCACACAGTGTTGAAAGAGTGCACATGACAATGCTGCGTACTTAAAAATCTAGCAGTTTATTATTTTCCTTTTCCCTAAAAGTATATTTAAGGTCAAACGCCATTTTATACTTTTTCAAAACGACTTCATTTGTCTTTTTCATCAACTTTTTAACGATATAAGGTTCATATTATCATTAACTCTTTCTAATGATATATTGGCAAATAGCTTTCATAATATATGCCCATTTTGTAGCCAATATAAATGATTTACACCTTCTGAGGCACACCTCATATTTGGTATCAACGATACTAAATTAATTGAATACTGTGGTCGTGATAGTCCTTCATAGTTTCGCTTCAAAATACATCAATAAAAACAATTCGACAATATACTCAAAGCTGGAAATCATAAGGATGCATTAGTATCAATTCACGGAACAAATATAGATATGAAGATTTATTACCCGGACAAGATGTATTGGTTCATCACCCTTTTTTATTGATGTTGACATCCAATCGTTTTCAATATGGAAGTGCGTTATATATGCGAGCAATTATGGATCCAACTGGGAAATGATATTATATTTATTATGACATTGTCTCCCGCTCGATACGAGACCTAGAAATAAGATCTGTGTCTCTATTAAGAACTTAGACCAATTTCCCGGGACCAATTTCAATAGGCACGTTTCTGGTGATACAAAGATTGCAATCCCCTAAGTTTAGAATAACTCTCATTTGTGATGGAATACAAGTACATGCAAGATCATGCAGGCACGTAGCCAGAATTTTCCAAGGGGGGTTCACTTTTCCAAAAAATTCTAGGGGGGTTCACTTTGGCAAATTTGGCCAAAAATCACTCAAAAAATAGTCAGAATGGTGAAAAACTGCAGGATTTTGAAAGAAATTTTGGCCAGGGGGGGGGGTTCGCCCGAACCCCCCGAACCCCCCTGGCTACGGGCCTGTCATGATTATGTCAGTATTTAGAAAAGAAGCAAGCCAATTTAACGAAGAAGTTATTCCAAAGGGTAAATAGATAGGACAAAGTATTAATAATATTTACGAAAGCAATTCATAAATGACTTAACTAATGGCATAGACAGAAATCCAAAATTCAGAAAATCCATATTTAAAACGTTTTGGACGATTTTACACGAGAGCATGCCTAAGTCGTTGATTATATGTAAATTGTAAATATTCCAATGTTTCAAAGGATATATTCAAGAAGATTCCATCATAATTCAGTTTTTTCAAAATTAAGTGTTGCAGTTTTTGTTCCACGCTCGAAATCCTAAACTACATTTTAATTTTAACAACCACTAAAAAGTACCAAAATGTTTAATAAATAAAACAATGGATTGACGTAGTTTGATTGGATAGCCTTTATTTCGATAAGCAAACCACATTTTGAGCCCCGGAATTTCCTGGTACAATTAATTAACATCCACAAAAATGTACCAAAAACGTACTTTCCTTGTTTTATTCATGCATTTTTTTAAAGAGTTGACATAACAGCTTAGATAGGCAGATAACAAATTAGATTAACATTTTCAGGATAAGAGAACCTCGAGCACCGCATGCACAAGTCGAAAGATTGTGAAACATGTAAATCATACAGCTTGTGATTATGCATACTCTGCAGCTGACCATAACGTCGATCCGGATGCCAACAGTGCATGTTAGTGATTGTGACGTTCTTTTCTTACATAAAAACATAAAAGGTTTAACCAATGCTATTCAAATTTTTGCCATGATTATTTAAGTATGATTTTATTTTATTGAACCTTCCTGTTGAGTTAACAAGCGGTTGTTTGTTGCCAACGCACCACATCACGCTAGAATACAAAAATTAACGTTTCGTCTAATGTAATTGCGGCGTATACAGCCGGTTTGCAAATGTGATTTTATGAAATTTTTAACCTCAAGAGTGCAAATATTTAATGAATGACTTTAATAAAATTGAAAGATTTGTAAAGGTTTTTTCATCAAAATGAAGTTTCACACGACCTGACCTTGAACTTAGACATAAAAGATTTGTTGTCAAAATCCAATATAAGGTCCCGTTATTTCTGTATTCAAAACCAAATAGTAATGTGTACAACATAGGTACATTTAGCATAATAGAATTTTTACAACTTAAATCATGATTACTTATCTCAGGCCTTTCACGGATTATGATTAGCTAGCTCTGCAGTGGATTTCAAGAAGCGTCTACACCTCTTTAATCGTGTTTATATTCTACTAAGCCTAGTGAACGTCGCAAAGCCTTTGAAACAAGACATTCGGAGGCAAGAAGCCAAGCGTTCCGTGTTGAGCACATTTAACGTGAAGATTTGTCTCGGGAATCATTGATACAAATCAAAGGTATCAGAAAACAATCTACTGCAACAGGAAGGAAATAAAGTAGGTGTAAATTCCAGGTTTCCAGGGATATATGAGTTAGTGGAAGGTGATCGTAGACATAGAGAGGCAGGCTTCACTAGATTTAGCTCAATCGATTGGCTATGATGATCGCGTTAGTTTGACAGGTAAGGTAAATCCTGTAGACAAAATATCACGTTGATCATGTTTTTCAAGTCAAACAAATAATAGATGAATTAAAAGATAACATACGTTCGTGCTTGGTGTTTTCATAAACAGTACACAAAGATATCAATCATACTATGTAATCGTATTCAAAATTTAAAGGGAAATTAAGAGAAGTGACGCCGTTTTGGAGGGATTGGAGAGTCAGTCACCTCACACCTAGTACAATATTAGTTTTATAGTGGGGTCAACTCATCTCAGCATTTCGTACATTAACGTTTTGAACAGCAATTTTCCAGTTCGCCAACACTATTTACGCTAATGAAAAAGACATTTTCTTCGTTTCAAATTTATATGCATATGATGTTTTCACAATACAGGGCCACCTGATGCAGATGGAGGATGTACGCTTGACATCTTAATGTCGAACTGTAAGGGCATAATGGCAGATCAAGTTATGCTTAAAGGTGGGGATGACGGTGAAGCAGGGTATCCCCTCAAGGAATCGAACAATCTGACAAACTCAGGGCACGAAAACGGCGAAGTGAAAGTTAAAAGGCCACAGAAAGGATATCTCTTTACACGGAATCAACTGATACTATTCGTTGGATGTGTTTTAGCAATAATCATTTTGGTTGCACTTTTAGCTGGACTCATTGGTCGCACAAGACCAAACTGTCCCACTGCGGACTCCGAATTGACGGAAAGCGACCCACTGGTCCTGAATCCTACAGCCTTACCAACTATAGACCCCAGTCTACCATGGGCAAAAATAAGGCTCCCGAGAAAAATCATCCCACTATTTTATACGTTAGTTATTCGAGTAGACCTGAGTTCTTTTATATTTAATGGATCAGTGACTATTAATGTTACATGTGAAGAGGATACGAATCTAATCATTCTGCATACATACAAGTTAAACATAGACGATAGCGCCACTGTAGTTCGAGACTCCAATAACGCCGATCTTGACATAGCTCGAACTATCCGAGTGCCCAAAAATCAATTTTACGTCATCGAGTTAAAGGAGCAGTTAAAAACAGGCGCAAGTTACAAGGTGATAATAGGAAAATACAACGGGACCTTAGAGGACGATCTGAGGGGTCTGTATCGAAGTTCTTACAAAAATGACAATGGAACACTCAGGCAAGTTCAACTTTTGCTACATTATTAGAGGCATGATTTACTTGATTTTGTCAACTCTCAGTGGTAAAAGTAATTTACTTTTTCAATGCAAGTGGACGATTTCGAATTCTCGACACCAGTCAACACTCCCTTCGTTTGGTAGCACAAAGGGCAATATGTAATAAGAACCCCCCCTCCCCAAAGTCATTCTCAATTTCAAAATCAATAAAAGTCTATTTTTGGGCCCAATTTTTTTTCTGGGCCGTGGCATTACCATATAGTTATACAATAGTAAAACAAGATATTGGATAGTGCGGGATATTTTGTTTCACAGATCTACTTCATGCGCATGGATTTAATTTTATACTTGTCCATATGTCTCAATGTCATTTCTGTTCCATAAAATCATAGTTTGTAAAACAGACGTTTAAATTCTGAAAGACATCCTGTGATGTAGAAACAGACTGACGAATGTAGGGACGCTCTGACATATTTTGAATATAAAAACAAAAGTACAGCTCTATAGTTACAGTGAAAAAAATGTACGGGTCTAAAATGATTCGTAAATACGACACCAGCAAATGAAATCAATACAAATATTGCCGTGATATAATATACAAGATAGACGGAGCGCTAATCAACTTGATAAATCAGCTGAAGTTGTCATTTCATCTGATATATTCAATAGAGTATCGTCCAATTTGCCGTACAAAGGAGAGGAACTACAAATGATGTTTTCGAAATATTTTTCCTAAATTGTTTTTTTTGGAAAGGGGGTTCCATGCGTTTTACTTCTGCCATATACTTAGTTTGTCCGTGAAATGTAATCGTATACAATTTACTATCAATTGGAATTTTATCACGCTTACTATTGCTCTAGATTTCGGTATTCTTGTGTTTCTTCCACTTAACTTCTCCATTGTTGCAGAATATCTCAAGGGCTAATAAAGATCGTTTTACTTCAACTTCGAAATTGATGGCGAAATTCCATCTATGTCTTTTATAACGAACCAGTGATTTTTATGTTATTGTTTTTACCCATGAGGATCCAGTAACAAAGATAAGACCCACAGTTCAGAGCTTAATACTTATAATTTGAAGGACATCCACTTAGTGTCTGTAAATCAACATTTAAATGTCTAAATTATTTTTCTCGGGTAAATATACAAAAATTTGTGTATAGTTTTGACACTCTCAGTAAACCTATACTTAGCAAAATGTTTGAACAATGGCTTTCGACTTAGCTTTTTCTATTTTGCTTGAATGTTCTAAGTAAACTAAAACGTCAATTAAATGTTTTTTATTGCCGATTTATCTTGGTGTAACACCTGATTTCGTAGGAATATCGCTGTCAATCACCACTACAGCTTACATGCTCCATTTACTAATCTAATTAAGAACGTTAACGATGTTTAACACCTCTTAGCAGAGTATAAGCTTTCTCAAAGAACCCCAGGGGAGAGAAAACCTTTTAGACATCTTAACTGAGAGCGGAAACGTTGTTATTAATCTACGTTTTAAGTCAGACTCACAATTTAGCTGGATCCGTACTGAGACGTAGACTCCAGTAACATTGAAATACACGTATTTTGATCAATACTCTCATTAGTCAGCGCCATCGCAGCACCCACAGCAGTATGATACTCCGTGACACGCGTTATTGATCTATTCAACGCTGTTAGTTATAGGTTCAACTGCAGCTTTAACATTGTTACATAACACATTAACTTCATTTTTATCTATTTATAAGGTTAACAATGGTAGAATTTGAGTCGCAGGGAAGCTTCTTGTGATATTTGGTTTTGACATTCGATAGATGACCTGGTTATAAAGCACTGTATTAGAAACAAAGCATTGGCAACAACTGCATCCTTCTTAAAGGACTTCATTTATGCCGTGGCTGCAAGGATGAACAACTGTTATGGAGCGATGTTTCCTCATTAACTCATCTAGTTTGATAATTTGAGAGACCACGATATGATATTCTATTGTCTCATTATATTGACAAACTAAGTGATTTTGGATACAATTTTACATTTTTGTTCCCTTTAAATCTGGTTCCATGACCATCTATGTAGAATGTTGATTCTTAACTGAGATACCAAATGGTTTTCGCTTCTTATTTGGCGTGTGTCAAATTACCAAACCAGATTAGTCAATGAGGAAGCATCAATGGGACACAGCTATTAGAAACTATCTTTGTGCGCTTTTGTATTGAAGAATATTGAATAACGTAATCTTATTTAATTAAACTTATAAGAATATCGTCTAAAACGTTTTCTCAAATCTCATGATAACATTGCGATACCTTGGTTTGCATATTTTCAAAAAACTAAAACCTATATACCTTAATTAGAAAATGTCATAAAGGAGGACGGAAAGTATCGCAACAGATTTCGGACAGTCATATATTGGATTTTGGCTATTTTCTGAGGATTTGAACTGGTGCATATGTTAGACCTCCAGGATCATAGAGATGATAAAATAATTTCGACTTTGAGACAGGGAAGATGCAAACAACCCACCCACATGTTTTTATGTTTTTTCTGAAATGTTGTCCTGATTTTCAACCCCTTCCACCCCTGCTTTTTCAATTTTTGTAGCATCAATATGTTGCGTTTTTACACACAATTAACCCCTTTAAAGGAATAAGTAATTCGTTCCGGGGGTTAAAAGATATCCATTATGGGTGACCAAAATTAAGCTGAAAGCAATGGATCGCATGAATTTTGGGAAAATAACATTGGAAATATTTTTTCCACTTTATATAAAAGGAATCACTTATTCCTTTAAAGGGGTTAACTGTGTGTCAAAACACAACATACTGATGAAACAAAAATTGAAAAAGCAGGAGTGGAAGGGGTTGAAAATCAGGACAACATTGCAGAAAAACACGTGGGTGGGTTGTTTGCATCTTCCCTGTCTCAAAGTCAAAATTAGTTTATCATCTCTATGAGTGCTTTTCCTGGAGGTAATGCATTGGCCTTACATATGCACCTGTTTAAATCTTCAGAAAATAGCTGTTTAAATCTTCAGAAAATAGCCAAAATCCAACATATGACTGTCCGAAATCTGTTGCGATACTTTCCGTCCTCCTTTTAACTTAGAAAGGATTGGTATCGATATGGTGAACTTTTTGAACACGCGTTTCTCTTAAATCAGTCATCAAACAATTCTGAAAATTTTACACATCGTCAATTTAATGGTCATCTTTTGAATGGTAACAATATGATTTGAAATAAATATATATACTTTTCTCTTTATTGTTTTAGAAAACACATCAGACACTTCTTTTATTTTTTGGTATAATATGTTTGGAATGAAATGAAACATCTATCCGAACCTCAATGGAAAAAGCGACATAAACACAACGTGTTTAGGTCTCTCAATATTGTAATTGTTCAAAGGAAAGTTTGGTTGATTTTAAAAAGTATCTTGTTAAAGAAAATAAAATGTTTATCTTAATTTCTTAATTTTTGAATACTTTTTGTTGAATCAACCAACATTTCCTTTGTATAACTATAATATTGAGAGGTCTAAGAAAATGTTGTATATGCTATCTTGTTCCAACAAGGTTCGGAAAGACATTTTATTTCATTCTCAAGAATTGGTAGAAAGGAACAAAAACAATTGCACTTAAAACGAAAAATCTATACAAAACAATTATATAAAATATATATAATTTTCACATTAAATTGTTATCAATCAGTGAAACATTACATAAAGGGCCGTATTTTTTACAGAATGTTTTCAATAATTGGTTTAAGAAAAGACATTGTTGAATTCAGTTCACCATATCGATACCTATCCTTTGTATCCTTCCACATTAAAATAATTTGGAAACCCTACACATTTTTGCATATAAAGGTTCACTATCTGTAAATCATCAAATCTTAGATTTCCCAAAACTTTATCAATCCATGTTCCGTGTACTTTCACCATCAATAACATTGAAATACATTCTCTGAAAATATCATAGGTTGAAAACTTGCATATTTCTCACATTAAATAAGTTTTAAAATTGAATGATGCATACAGCTCAGTATGAACGATAGTTTAGTTTAGGATCAACGTTACATATCCTTTTGAAATCCTTTTGAAGATAGTCATAATTTTTTTTCAAAGAGGCCTACATTTACCCTCATCCCCTGGAAGGAATATTCAAACAATGTTTTCCCCTTATCAATTTCCAGTGCTGCCTACAGTATACAGGTGTAAAATGGTCCTACTCTCCATTGATTTATATGGTGACCTAATCACAATTACTTTCCTTATCATTTATACACAGTCAGGGCCAGTAAGGAAAGGGGACCATAATCCCCAGGGGACCATAATTTCTTTTACACCGGGACAACCAAATAATGCAAATGCCTTTCTAAACTAAAGATCTAGAGCTGATCCAAAGAGCTACAACAATTAAACTAAATTACGTATAACGATATTTTAAACTGTGTTTCGCATGCTATGTCAAAAGCAATTGTTTTTTATATCGATTTGCCATCATTACGGATTTAATATAATTTGGTGTCTTGATCAGTTTAAAAAGGAATATCCAAAGCGTTTTTGAAGTCTGTAAAACAAATGCAACATTGCAACTTGAGAATTGGAAGGCTTCAGTAAACCATGGACTGAAAACCCATGGGTAAACCGTCGAAAACGCAAGTGTAACTTAGAAATTGATCATAGTTTGACCCAACCTATCCATAAGCAATTTACTTCTTGAATAATACCATTTAGTATTTTTGTCAGTTTTTCAATCATTTTACCATCTAAACAAGTTATATTATGAAGAATGAAATGAAGATGTGTCAATGTTAGGGCAACCTGAGTAAAAATGCTTTGACTGATAGGCCTATATTACATTAACTACTGATGCACCTGTATCTTTCAGGTACTTGGCGGCATCTCAGCTGCAGTCAGCTGACGCTAGAAAGGTGTTTCCATGTTTCGACGAACCAGATCTTAAAGCCAACTTCGCAGTCTCAATTGAGCATCTTAAAGGTAATGATATGAAAACTGACCTGGCCAACAATCAGGTTAACATCACGTTTTCACGTTAGATCATGGTTTTTGGGATTATTGGGTTTGTTTTTCTTATGACTGGTATACACCTAGAGATTGTTTTTTCTTGCTAGGTTCCATTTAACTTTTGGTCCTTTCCCGTTGGCGCTTGTGCTTAAATATTCAAAATCGTCATAGATTCCCACTTATTCGATAATGAAAAGGGATAGATTGGAGGAAATTTAGCTAAAGATTTATTCGAGGTCCAAATCAAATATTCCATACAAATCTTCCAGATGGCACTTCATAGCTAAACTTTAACACGTACTCCAATAAAGGAAATTGAGCTACCAAACTTCTCGATACCTTTAAGTCTCTACCTATTTGAGTTGAAGTAGTTTTGTTTAGTGCATTACTGAATTGAACATTTAGCTTTTGGGAGGTCAATATATAAGCACAAGTGCCAAAGGGAAAGGACCAAAAGTTGTAATGGAACTTAGCAAGAAAAAGCAAACTCTAAGTGCATACCCCATATAGCCCAAAACCATGATCTAACGTCAAAAGAAACAATGTCTAATACCCACTTTCGCCCCACCATTCAAGAACCAATATCACAATCCAAGACCAGAAGACCAAGGGACATTTCATTCATACTGAACTCATTACAATACATGTTGAAGAAAAAATTAAAAATTGATAGCCAATTGATAGCCAATAACCTCAAAAATAGTTGTAGATACAAGTACTCATACAAGTTAGAGCATTCAGTCTCAAATGATGTGGGATAGATAAAATCATGTCTCCAAGTCCATAGGCGTTTCAAAGGGTCAACATCCATTCACAAAAGCCGTCGCCATAATCCATAAAACACAATAATTCACAATGGTCATCAGGAGAAAACTATGGCTGGTTTCGATCCCTATTTCTCAACCATTAATGCCATAGCCGGGATCCACCTCAAAAGGTGCCAAGTGAAAATATTGTGAGTTCATTGCCAATGTCTTAAACAATTCCTACATACTTCAGCAGCTTCTTTAAAACATCGACATGATTTTAAGAATCATATCTTATTAAGGAATGGAAGTGTTCGGAATGCAGTCCTTAATAATATACTATGCGAATTATTTAAATCATAACTGGCGATTTTTTAAAATACATTTTGACCCAGGTCTCAATTTATTGTGTCATTATTAAAGACTGGGATAGACATTTGGCAAGCTCTTCTTTACGAGCTTGATGAATTGATGTTTTATTTTCTATGTAGGCCTATCTACATTTTTTCAACAAAGCAGTCAGTGTTATCTACCTTGAATTGCGGGATAGCTGTTTTCTAATTTTGTACGCAATCGTTTTGGAAACTCAGCACGATGCTTTAATGAGTTTCGTTAACTGAAAGGCAAACTGTTTTATTTTATACGACTTGGCATTCGTGCAGGTTTGACTGGGTTAATCTGAAAACCAAGTTTAGTTGCTTTGATCATTTAGTGTGCAGATATTAACCTGATTTTGTCCGTCATCATTTCACCTGTCAATACGGTCTCATCTACATAGGGCGCTCAAAAAGTTCTACCTGTTTATATCTAACATCCAGACATATCGAGCAAGAAACACCCAGCATATCTCATAGAAATACAAATAATTTGGGAAATTCTAAGTAAAACTCTAAGGCTCTTAGATACAGTGTACAGTACATAATGCACCTTGCATTCAAAACTTTTAAAATAGATGAATACACAACCAGGCCAAAGGATAGGTATCGATATGGAGAACTGAATTCAAGAATGCTTTTCTTTTAAACCAATCATTGGACATATTCTGTAAAAACACGGTATTTTATGTATTGTTGACTGATTGACAACAATTTAATGCGAAAATTATTTAGAAATACAGGGTGTTCCAAAAGTAACAGGACTGGTGCTGGCATTTTGTCAATTTTGCACTGAGTGTCTTCAAATTTTTACAAATTGTACTTTGAAGTATTGCAACTAAAATAGTAAAAATTTCAGAAAAAATGATAAAATGCGGGTGGAGTTGTGGTTACTATAGTAACATGACATCACAATACCCGGGGCAACCTTTTCCTGAAAATGTGATATCTTACATATTTGTATTACTGAAGAAAGTATCTAATTCACCTATTATAATACAACATTTCTTGTTTATTTTATTAGTTGCTTTGTTGTAAAGGTGTTGCAATACAACTCAGATATAAGTATAATTTCATAATAATAATAATAATAATAATAATATTTATTCAATTTCCTGGAATATCACCATGAATTACGGTCTGAACAATTCATGGTTGAGTTTTTGAAAATACCCAATTTAAAGCCAGTCATCCACCTTGATAACGCGCCTTCCCGCAGGTCACCATTAAAGACCACGCAGCTATAGAGGATCTAGGTCTTGAGTTCTAAAACCATGCTCCATACTCTTCTGATCATGCAACATCCAATTTTTACTTACATGGAGAATGGAATGCTTAACAGTGCTGTAAGATCTTTAAAGATGTGAATGACCTTCTCCAAGTTATTCAATGGACCATGTCATGCGTGACATGTCCTCAAATGGGTTGACTCATGTCGAGTCATGGATGCAGAGTGCTACTCTTCTACTGACCAAAGAGGAGCCTATTTTTCAAAGTAGGGGATACATAGGAATATCAAATTATGTAAAACAAATGTAATTCCCACCAGTTGTTGCATTTCAACTTTGATATGTGATGTACAAAATGCTTAATGTCTCTTTCTGTCTTAATGTAACTTTCTGCGTGGAATGTTGCCCCGGGTATTACGATGTCATGTTACCATAGCAACCTTAACTCTACCTGTGTTTCATATTTTTTGTCGAAACTTTGCAGTTTTAATAACGATACATGAGTGTACATTATGTAAAATTTTGATTTGATTTTGATGTAAAAGATGATTGGTGCATATTTAACAAAATGCCAGCACCAGTCCTATTACTTTCGGAACACCCTGTATTTTATATAACTGTTTTTGTTATTTTTTTTAGTGCAATTGTTTTTGCTCATTTCTACCAATTCTTGAGAATGGAATAAAATGTCTTTCCGAACCTTGTTGGAACAAAATAGCATAATATACAACATGTTTTTAGACCTCTCAATATTATAGTTACACATTGGAATTTCTGGTTGATTTTAAAAAAGTATTCAAAAAATTAAAACAAAATCCCCCCAAAATAGATAAAAATCAAGATAAACCTTTTATGTCATTAACAAAATACTTTTTTAAAATCAACCAGAATTTCCTTTGAACAGTTACAATATTGAGAGACCTAAACATGTTGTGTTTATGTCGTTTTGTTCCAATGAGGTTCGGAAAGATGTTTCATTTCACTCTGGCAACATGATACCAAGAGCAAAACAAATGTTTTATGTGTTTTCTAAAACAATTTTGATGAAAGTATATATTTATTATCCCAAATTATATTGTTACCATTCAAAAGATGACCATTAAATTGACGATGTGTTAATTTTTTAGATTTTTGTTATGACTGGTTTAAAAGAAACGTGTGTTTAAAAAGTTCTTCATATCGATACCACTCCTTTCAAGACATATACGGATAAGAATAAAACCTTTTGAACGATCATAGTGTATTACCAGTCACGGTAGCAACATGAACAAGCCGATCTATCAGGTTATCAGGTTATATCAACTTCCAGTGTGCATTGGGCCTATCTGAATGATGTATGTTAAAATAGCATGAATTTCAGAGAATCCCATTCAAGCTTTTGAAGCCAGTAATTATAAACGTTTCAATCACGTCAATGGACGTTCTAACGTCATACTTTTGTGTCGAAATTGACCCGTCGGTATGTAACTACAATAGAGAATTGCATTTAACGCGTAAAAACTAGAAGAAACATCTAATATCACAACCGGTCATTAGGAACATCGAACCACAACATCCAAACTGAGATAACGCACAAAGAAACAAAATTTAACAATCTGGACTGTAATTTACCCGATCTAAAAGTAGCTTCAGCCCCTAACAGGCGTGTCAGTGTCATCAACAAATAGTTCCCTCTGGTACCCCAGGATCAAGAACACGCACAGGGGTCACGATGTAAAATCAAGGTCATTAGATAAAACATTGAGTTTTTATCCCTTGTAGAATACACGGCGCTGTCCAACATGCCCACACACAATATCCAGAGATTAGGAGGTGGGTGGCTTAGAGCTAACTTTCTACAAAGCCCCGTTATGTCAACATATCTGCTGGCTTTTGTAATCTCAGATTTTACATCAAGACAGCGCATCTCTGCCAATGGCCTCAAGGTAAGATGACTTGATCAAATTATTCGACTATGTTCAAAATATCATGCATTGCGTTTTATGCCCATAGAGTGTTCCTTCAATTGTGACAGCAACAATGATGATGCACATACAAAACAAAAATGTCCCTGACGCAGCTGGAGCCAACAATTCATGGTGACGTTTATGAGCAAATACATTAACTATTATTCCAAAAAGCTTCTTCTTCCTCGTAACTTCGCTGATCCACCATTGCTTCATAATAATTATGGAAATTACATTAATCTTTTATAAATAACGGATTTGACATTTTGACAAATTCCCTAAACAAAGTGCTTGTACGTTTTATCGTCATAATTTTCTGGAACCAAAATAAGAAAAGAATTTATTTGACCTTTTTAGGTTCGTATTTGGGCTAACAAAAAGTCTTACAAACAGACGGAATATGCGTTAGATTTTGCTGTCAAGTCTTACGATTACTTCGGAGATTACTTTGATATTGAAGAGGTTGTTCCAAAATCAGGTATGTTATTGCATTTATTCATGATTCACTGAGGTTCCGTGCTGTTTTCAAAGAGTCTTACCAAGTATATGTTAAACCTTTGACACACTTTAACAAGATATTAACATACAAAAATGTCATCACCTGCCATTTTTTACAGACGCCGAACACCAACCGCCGAACACTAACCCCCAAACACCGCCCGCAAAAAAAGTTGGGGGACTTAAACAATATGCCACCACTTGTGGTGGTCACATAAAAATCAGTGTTGTCATGACCAAGTTCTGAATGAAATTCTGAATGTTCAATCTGTACGTGTAAAGCAACCCTTTTATTTTCTAAACAGATCATGTTGCCATCCCTGACTTTAGTGCCGGTGCGATGGAGAACTGGGGCCTTGTGTTGTACCGAGAGACAGCGCTTCTCCTTGACGACGACGTCTCTTCAATTTTAACTAAATATTGGGTGTCCATGGTTATGGCCCATGAAGTGTCACATTCGGTTCGTTCATGTTCTTTACTAGCCATTTAAATCCTCCGTATTTCTCAATTGTTTAATTGAAACGAGGAGGCACTAGTGCTTCAAGACTGTAGACCCCCTAATCTTCTTGTCCAACACAACACTATTGTAAAGTAGATGGGGGGTCCAGGGTCTTGAAGCAAAGGAGGCACGAATGAAAATAAAAGAAAAAGATGCATATCATGCTTATTCTTTAGAAAAAGTAAAGTTCTAATCAGAAAATATGATTTAAAAAAATCACAATAGGCCTATACTTGACAAGCGTTTCTCCTGAGTTTCAACTCAACAAGGTAAAATAAATGTGGTAAATAAGGTGTAATGTAATGTTATGGTCGGTGGCTAAACAGGAAAAATAAATGTCCATTTGTCATCAAGGTAACAGGCTTTTACAGAAAGGTTTTGATTCCAGTGGTTTGGTAATATGGTCACGATGAAATGGTGGGACGACCTATGGCTGAACGAGGGGTTTGCGAGCACTCTCATGTACTTTGCCATGGACGATATTTACAAGAGCTGGAATGTGGTACGTAAAAAATACAAAACTTCCGATACATAATATGAGGCAACTACATTTTTGCGTGAAATATCAAGTTTTAAATTCACAATAAGACAGCATTACTAGACCTTAAAAGGGATCTCACATCGGCTAAGCTTAAGAGAGTGGTACCAATATTTGACATACACTACATGAGCTAAAGAAGTCAAATCATACTAATTGTTGTTCTTGTTCGTTACATACAATGTGCCCCATAAGCCTAAAATAGGCTAGGTATTTCTACAACTATGACATAAATATACACCATAAATAAACATGCTATATAATAATATGGCGCTATCAACGATCAATATTTATTTCAGTTCGACATGCAGATTGTGACTGATTTGTTTCCTGTGATGACCAAGGATTCTCTCCTTACCTCCCATCCTATTTCAACCCCAATACACGCACCTGAGGAGATTGCACAGTCATTCGATTCAATATCATACGATAAGGTAACTGAAACAGTCGAGTCTAGCATTCAGAGAACGATGATAAGTTAATGGGAAAACCCGGGGATCGAATGCGAGTCTTATGTCAACACAATAACTGCTCCAAACCATAATGCTAGAATAACACATATATCAAGGTAGAAATGTAGAGGATCGATAATTTACCTGGTATGCTATACTTATTTCATAACCGCTGATAAATTCTTCCAGGGAATGTCTGTTTTGAGGATGTTACGAGGTTTTCTAGGCTGGGATGACTTTAGACGCGGTCTACAAGAGTATATCAAGGTGTACAAATTTAAAAATGCGGAGATGCAGGATCTTTGGGCCACCTTTACCAGGGTAAATTACGTTCAATAGTTCAAATCCCAATTAACATTTTGTGAATTAATGTACTTGTCTTGGTTTTAATGTACAGGTCTCCGCACAGAATACATCAGGTATTAAATAACCTCAAGGGGCAATCATTTCTTTCATGCAAGTGTTTATGAACAGTTTTGTTATGCATAATACCCAATCAAATCTACTTCAGGAAATATTGACAACTTTCTATAAAAAGAAAAATATACAGCGCTGCATTATCTCAACATTCTTTCTCAAAAGTGTATAACTATCCCGTTCCCTTTACAAATTAATTCATCTATGAATGTTCATCTCTCTGGTAGTAATGTACAAAGTTGTTGATTTTCTTTCTCAAGAAAGAAGTAGGATGGACATCCTACGAAACGTCAAAAATAAAAATAAATATCTCTGAGAAAGAAAATCAACAACTTTGTAAATTAATTCATGTTTATGATATTTATATGAGATGACGTATGTAGGTTGTAGATGACAGATATGACGTTGGCAAGATAATGGACACTTGGACTCGCCAGATGGGGTTTCCAGTGGTGACCGTCCACAAAGAGGGTGACATCTATACTATAACACAAGACCGAATGCTTTTGAATCCAGGAGATCAGAACTACGACAAGTCATCTAGTAAATATGGGTAAGTATGGCCCCAAACAAGACTTCTAGTAAAGGGCACGATCGGACATTTAACAAGCAATAATTCAATAATTTGTATACATGTATCTCCTTTATATAAAGGGCAATAAATATATAAGGGTTATGTACTGGGAGGTTTTGGATGCGGGACCGAGGGAGATACACATATTTCCCGCGGGATAAACACTGTATCCAAAACCGACCGTACATAACTGGTGTATCTCATACTTGAGTGGGTTTGGGGTAGATATAACCGTTACCACCTTTTTCAAATGACAAGATAGGCCTATACTGTAAAAGCACAATTTATATTTAACATTTTCATAATATTCCTTCAGTTCAATACAATAGAATTGTAACATTTAAACTTTTTGAAAAATTTTAAACTTCTGAAATTTAAATTTTAAAATTTTAAAACTTTTTTAAACTTTTGAAAAAATTCCCGGGAGCGGGATGGATATATTATATCTGCCCGCATTTGGCCTAGAGCGGGACATATACAATATATCCTGCCCGCTCCTCAGATATGATATATATTCCCGGGTGATATCTACCCCAAACCCACTCAAGTATGAAATACATACATATACGTACATACATACACACAATAGAATAACCGGTCATATAGGAAAAAGTGGCATAACCAGACATATAGTAAACATTAACATATACCATGCGAGCAAAGTCTAGTTATAAACTACGACTGAAGACTACTATAAACTACAACTGAAGAAGCTCTCTTTCAAGAAGTGAAGTCGAATGAATGCAAAGGGTAATTAACATAACAAGTCATCTTCTAAACGAGGACTTTCTGATTCACGGGCATAAACAATGCATGGAACCTGAATTCGATCTATGTTTTAGGTACCAGTGGTTGATACCCTTCACCTATATAACACAAGATGAGCCAACGAGAGAAAAGACAGTTTGGCTCGAAGAGAAGACTGGTAATGCAGATTTTTTAGATCTTTCAATCTGATATTTTTAAACAATGCCAGCTTAGGAGAAATGGTTAACTGGGTATTTTAGTATTTTGCATCAGTCTCCCATCGATATTGACCTTGATAATACATGACACTAGATTCCAACTATGGTAAAACCATAATGTGGCTAGGCCATTGTGGTTATGATTATTTTTTCACCATAATGCAAGCTGAGTCAGTATATGCATTAATAAAACCTTATCTATATGATTCTGAAAATCTGGAAACAAAATGCACAGAAATCCAACAACAATACCAACACTTCCCGACAACTACATGAGATCTGATGGTATTCACAATTCAAAACAACTCACAAAACAAAATGGTTGCACTTTATAGTTTTGCCAATAAATGCATGTAATATTATATAATGAAACTGTTGTAAAATCAAATTATACAGGTATATATAAAAAGAATTGTCACTTGTGAGTACATTTTATCTTTTGATTTTAGGGACAATCCAGCACACAGCTGGCAAGTGGATTCTTGGGAATGCAGAGTATATGGGGTTCTACAGAACCAACTATGACTTGGACATATGGAAGCTCATTATCAAGCAGCTAAAGACTGACCATTTGGTAAGTACAGGGTGTTCAAAAAAAACGCAACCCCAAAAAATTGCTATATCTTGAGAAATACTAGTTCAATTATGTTCATTTTTTCAGGAAAGGAAGAAGAGACTGTGTATGTATAGCTCATGTAGTTGGTTAGTTGTAAAACATGATGCTTTGGACACCTGCTCAAAAGACAGTTGTACTAGGAAAATACGAAAAACCCAGTCAGGGCTGACTGCAACCGCAAAAAAACTAAATAACTTCCTAGCCATAGTGTTTTGGCTCTTCAAATTTGGCACAAATCATCTTCATTCCCTGTATGGTTAATTTGTAAAGTAAAATTAAAATCACTTCAGAGACTTTACAGTTATGGTTGAAATGCTTTCAAATCGCAGTCAAACGCCCTGGTTCCAGCAGACTTCAGAGGGCATTTTGACCTTGACTGTAAAGTCACTGAAGTGATTTTGATGAAACTCCACAAATTCACCACACATTGAATGAGGATAATTTGTGCCAAATATGAAGTGCCAAAACCCTATGGTTAGAAAGTTGTTAGGTTTTATTGCTGTGGCAGTCACCTCTGACTGCGTTTTTCGTATTTCTCTAGAACAACTGTCTTTTGAGCAGGTGTCCAATGCATCATGTTTTACAACTTACTAACAACAGGAGCTATACATGCACAATATCTTCTTTCTTTTCCTGAAATTATGAATATAATTGAATCAGTATTTTCCAAGATATAGTGATTTTCCATTCGCGTTTTTCGTATTTTCCTTGTACGACTGCCTTTTTAGCAGGTGTACAAGACATCATGTTTTACAACTAACTAACAACAGGAGCTATACATACACATTCTCTTCTTTCTTTCCTGAAAATATGAACACAATTGGATAAGAATTTCCCAAGATATAGCGATTTCTTTGGGTTGCGTTTTTTTTGAACACCCTGTACTTGTAATAATTGAATCCAACAAGCGAAGAAATTCGTAACTAAGGGATGATGTGAAAATGTTAGTTCACCCTAGTAGGGATCGAACCCACAACCCCTCCAATAAGTGAAGAAATTCAAATATGACAATGAGACATGTAGCTCAAAGATTGTAATATCAAGGGCTTAGGAAACGTTCATAGTGCTGAAAGTAGGGTCCTTGTAACCGCAGTTGTAATTCAAAAGGAGTTAAAACACTTTCATCTTTATACAACTTTTAATTAATCAAATAGCTAAACTACCATGCGTTTCACCTTAATAATGCAGGTCTAAAATGATATTTCTAATGGTGAACTGCCTCATGCTGTATCAGGAAAATAGCGCAGGTGCTTTATCTCTCTTGATGTTTGCACAAGTAATTTCCAATATTTATAAAGTAAATAGTAATCTTTGAGTTGTTTGTCCATGAATTTGAATTTATACTTTTTTCTAGATATGAAAGCCAATGGAACAAAATTTGTAAAACGTTGATTTTACATTACAGGTTTTCTCAACTGCAAACCGAGCTGGCCTTATTAGTGATGCTTTTAATCTGGCAAGGTAAGAAATAAAGACACAAATAAATCTGGCTGTAAATTGTAGGCAGAGGTGTTAAGATTTCACTGTTCTGTTCTCCGAAACTAGTATGTTCCTCTGCAAAATATTAACTATTTCAGGGCCAGCAAATTGGACTACAGCGTTCCACTGGAACTGGCAACTTATCTTAAGGTAGAAGAGGAATATGTTCCATGGAAGGCTTTCTTTGACGAAATCAGCTTCCTTAAAGGGATGCTTGACACAAGCAGCTCTTACGGACTGCTTCAGAAGTTCATCCACGACCTCGTTGAGCCTCATTACAATAGACTCGGAGTACTACAAGAAGGAGAGCTGCCAAAGAGGTACTTAAGGCGACTGCTTCTGGAACAAGCGTGTGAAATTGAAATTACACATGCTGTGGAATACGCCAAGAATCAGTTCAAGATCTGGATGGAAACAGGCCAAAAGTAAGATATAGAAATATAGCTGTAGAGACTTGTGAAGACATACAGGGTGTCCCGAAAGTATGCCCCCCCCCATAGGCAGACATATTCCAATGTCCTCATAGTATGTGTCATATATCATTTTAAAGCTTATCCAAAGTTACATTGATTTGCCAAGTATCATGGTTTAACTTCCAAATGGGAAAAAGTTACAGTCATTTTAAAAGTTAGTTTTTTGTCAAAATAAAATTCAATTTTACACCACATTACTAGTTAATGAGTCCCCACTTGGCCATGTTAACAGCAGCAATTATTTTCAGATATGACCTTAAAAGCCCTTGAAATAGGGGTGTGGAATTTTATACCCTCGCCGTTCTCTTTTTCCAACTCAATATCCATCCGACCAAAAAAGAATTGCTGCTGTTAAGATGGCCCGGGAGGACACATTGACTAGTGATTTGGTGTAAATTGAACTTAATTTTGACCAAACACTTAATTTTAATTTTAAAATGCCTGTATTTTTTCCCATTTGAGAGTTGAACCATGATACTTGGCGAATCAATGTAGCTTTGGAAAAGCTTGAAAATGATATATGACACAAACTATGAAGACACTGGTATATGTCTGCCTAGGGGGGGGGGGCATACTTTCGGGACACCCTGTACAGGGTGACGCAAAAAATCTACCCACTGATATTGGAATAACTTTCTCAATAATTAAAGAATCTTCAAGTTGATTTATGAGATAGGCTAAGAGGAAAGAGTGTTAAATGCATAAAAGAGCGTTGTACTTGTATAGCATCAAAATCTTTGAGATATAGAGATAGCACATAGATGTACTATTGGCCTCAATCAGACTTGCATTATCAATTTGTACTTCAATTTGTGTGTTCCATTTCAAATGCTAGGCCTCAGTCAGACTATGCCTTAGTGATATACTCTGTTGGTATACGAGAAGGTGGACAACTGGAGTGGGATCATCTATGGAAGAAGTCCCAAGAGACAATTGTGGCATCTGAACGTGAGACAATGATGGACGCACTTTCCTACTCTCAGAAAGTCTGGTTGCTGTGGAGGTCAGAATACAATGTTTTAGCTATTCAAATCCTAATCAATGATCAGCGACTTAATATGATTTTGTTTAAAGTTGCATAAATGAGCATAATTATACTTATGCGTTAAAACCTAGTGCCAGATAGTATGCACAGAAGATTAATAGTGGTCATTAAATATATATATTATGACTATGCTGCTTTATTTTGACATTTAGGTATGCCAACTGGACCTTTGATAATAGCAAGATCCGAATGCAGGATATCCGTCTCATCTTTAAATATTTTGGTGCTACACCCCTGGGAAGATCTGTTTCTCGACAGTTCATGATAACAAATTGGAAATTCATAAATGACAGGTATTTCTCATTAGCTTTGGCAATTTAACTTTTCTTTCTGTCTTAAAAACTAAACATTGAGAACTTAGCCATTTGTTTAACGCAATCTCATTAATTCAAATACTCATCCATTTTCTTGCAAATGCGTTATATGCTTCATAATCACATTAAGACACTAAAAATAACAACATCTTGGAAACCAAAATATCGTTCCTTTGACTTTAATTGCTTTGATTGTTCAATTTTTGTTTAGATTTGGTCAGGACAATTTCCTTATTCGAGATATTATCTCATCAACAACATCGCTTATTCATACACAATATGAGCAAGAACAGCTCGAGAATCTCTACCGGAAGAATCCTCCATCAGGATTCGCCAGCAAGGCTGCAGATGATTCATTGGCACAAGTCAGGTTGGTGAATGAATTATTGGCGTATCTATTATTGGGCATATCATAGTACAGTTTATTTAGTAAATTCATATATCATATAAACGTGAAGTATAAAATGTATATATTTCCAGAACATACAAAGTGAAATAAGTTTTCGATTAAAATGAATTGAAAATAATGATAACATTTATTGGAGATTATTCCCAGGAGAGTATTATTGCAAATGCTTAGTTGTCATAGTTGGTAATACAATATGTTACTTAAATATATCACTGGCATCAAAAGATTTATTATTGAATATACTAATCTATCATGTGTATGGTGCCTTTGTTTCCAGGGCAAATGTGCAATGGACAGTAACCCAAGAGGGACAGGTGTCAAGTTGGATGAAAAATTACGCAAGAGAACGTTCTTACTTTATTTGATCACATATTCTCATAAGAACTTTATAAGGTGGATACATTTTTGTATGTCACATATACATACCTATGGGCCAAACCATACATTTGTAAAGGGTTGATTTTCTACTTGTTTATGACAGATTTTGAATTATATCATTAGTAATTTCACTCTGTGAAAAATGATAAATCATGAACATGACTCGTGATATTTCTAACATGAGCATTCTAATAAATAATATAACATAACCAAGGTGTACCTCAACAGCATGGTGATTAAAATGGAAAGATTGATACAATACAACAAGAGCTTATACATTTAGTTATAATCGAAAGTGGTGCAAATGGTTAGAAGAATGTGTAAAGTCCACGGCTCTGGTATTTAAAGTGGTCTTGACTCCTAGAATAACCTATTCAAACTATCAAATAGGTGCAGAAGCCATGTTGAGGAGACCTGACTGCTATGGGATATTAAAAAATTAATGATGACATATCCCAAAAATCATCCACAGAAACAAATCAAAGAGACACAGAAGAAGTTTGATTCAAGATATAAGCAAATGATTCAGAAAAAGGAATAAAAAATGTCATAAAGAAAGAATGAATAACTGCAGTGATTTTCAAGGTTATTTTCCAAAAGATTGCAAAATCTTAACTACCTATTTTAAAGGCCCAAATATCTTAATGTTTATTTTTTCAACATTTTGAAAGGATGTTAACAGATAACAGATTATAATAGGATAGCATGTAATTTTCTAATTTTCAACAGGATGTAGCTCCCAGTTGCTATAATGCTAGGGTGATCACAGCAATGCATGTTAAATGACGCAGGTATCCAAAATGATCAGGTATCCAAGAAAGATAAAGTGACAATGTGATCCGACCAAACCATACTGGTTTTATAAATCACACAAATTATAAATAATATGTACATAGCTGCACAGACGTAAACAGTATTATTGTAGGAACTTTACTATTGTATTGCTATCATAAAATATTTCGATTTAGGAAAAGATTTCTTTCAAAGGGCATGCCAAAAATGTGACTCACACACAAATATGACTTAATGTCATGAAATAATTTGGGTGATTTGAAGTTTCAACATTAACATTGTCGAATACATGTATTAAACTGTGATTCAAATGATTTATATTTTGATTTATATGGTGCATGTCATAAGTCATCACCAAAGGGGTCTTTCAGTTATGCCTTGGTCACATTTGCTCTGATTTTCACCACGGCGCGCGGCCGATTGAGTATTTCGTTCAAAATTGAATGCAATATTGAACAAAACACTCAATCGGCCGGGCGCCAGCCGATGGATCAGAGCAAATGTGACCCAGGCATTACTGATGTTCAAATTTCACTATATAAGAGAATTATAGAATTATTTCAGTTTCCTTTAGTTTACTCGTTAGTACAAAAACACCATCTATTAGTACCTTTAGACATGCTTTATATTGTTAACAATAATGTTTCATCAATTAATACTGAAAGCTACATTGATTTTCCATTAAAACATGGGCTTTTAATAGAATGTCCATGATTAAAAGCAAGATAGAGTTATGAACATGACTAGGTGACAGAGTGATTATACAGGACACTGATGAACTAAAACAACCAAGTCATATGAGGATCTACCGTGTAATTTTATTTTTCATTATTTGTGACAATGTAATGGAAAAATGACACACTTCTAAACCAATGTAACATGTGATACATATACTGACATCACAATGAAACAAATAAAGCGATGGAACTACACATGACCAGTTTATATATATTATAAAATGATATTATGGCCATATAGCCACAACAAAACTTTGAAACTGAAACCAATTGAAACTATAAAAATGAAATCTTAATAATCATAATGATAGTATGATTTCTCATTTAACTATGTCTTACCAGTCTAAGCCCTTGCCTATCTTCTAGATACTTTGATACAGTCTCCAATCTTTTGGCACACCCTGTATGATACACATGTATAGGATGTTCAGAGTGTGTACTTTTAACCGTTAAAATACTTTTAAGGAAAATATTATATTTAAGCATAGTAAAGAGAATATTGAGTATCTTGGATAAAGGATTTTGTCTATTAAAATATTTACTAGTATGTCAATAGTATAAATATTAGTAAATTGAATGTTGTCATTTATATTTCCAGTTTCTCCTCAGAAATATTGTGCTTATAGCATTTTAATAGTACAGATGTTTTGTATTGTACATGTGTTTTCTTGTATTGTTTTGATTAGTATTATATAGTATTGCATTTGTACAGTATATACATTATATACAAATTAATATTTCAATTCAATAAAGGACACGTCTATAATTGACATATATAATTTTAGTGTGTTCCATCAAAAGGTTTCAGCCGTGTATCAGGACTAATATGGTTCAATGTTTAGTAGAGCAAATAGTCATCAGATATATGTAAAAGGAAAGTATAAGTTATCCTTCCATCTTTTAAATTTCAGTTGTATGTTACGTTCTGTCATCATCATACACTACACTGTTGTTTCTCAATCTACAAATTAATAATATTCTACAAGGTAAGCCAAAAAAGGTAACCGAAACAAATCTTGATAACTTAAGTGAACCCTAGAAGCACCAGATAAGAGTGTTGAAACAAGAGATGAGAAGGCCATTACATAAGATATATGTGACCATGTCAGAAAACCTCACCCCATACGTTCAAATTAGCCTCCAAAATGGCCCTAAAATCACAACCATTTGGAATAGACCAATGAAACTTAATTGAGTGAAAGAACATTTAACAAAGTTCAGTTGTACTTTAAACCCATACTGAATGATTGAGTTATTAAGTCTTGTTTGGGTAACCTTTTTTGGCACACCTTGTAGAGTATTATGATAAATAAAATTTACCTATTTCTGAAGTAGAATGCATATTCAAAATTGACTATCATAGTAAAACATGAAAGTATAGTACTGTATAAGCCTTACCTCATCTATCTCAACAACGTTGCCATGGCTGCATCCACTGACTTTAAGTTCGTTGCCGTGCTGCATCCAAGCAGTGATATAAACTAGCATCCATTGTCACTTTGAAGTCAACACTGGTGCTTTTTAACTTGGATGTTGCGCAACACACCAAACTAAAAAAGTAATATACAAGATATAAATTGTCTGTAAATATTTAAAATTCAAATATCTTTGAAAATAAGAGTGGTAAATACTACATCTAGACAAAATTTCTTGTAATTCTTGACTGTACTTGAAAAAACATGGTATTTAGTTCAGAATTTTAAAATATGATATCAATTCACAAAGACAAGTAATGCATCATGAACAAAATATAGTACTAACATGCCTTAACCTTGCTGGCTTCGCCACATAAGTTCATGCACTGGAGTTATTCATTTAAAGCATTCTTCTGTTGATGAAGCATCTATCATTCTGTTCATGAGCCTTAACAGCATCACTGAGGAAGCACACTTACATCTAGGGCTCATAGACTTGCATTTTATATGCTCTTTTACTTAAAGCCCCACTATACTTGATTTAGAAAAAAAAGAAAAAAATGATCATTGAAACATATTACTCACACACTCGCTCAAATATGACACAAAGTTTGATTTGCTTTAATATTGAACCAAGAAAAAAATAACTCACAGAGAAAAAAGCATTTGAAGTTTAGAGATCATTAGACATGCATGCACATCCTAAACAAAGTGCATGTTTTTAATTACTTTTGATTTAAAAGATGGCGACACTTCTATAAAAATGAATGTATCATGTAATACAAACAACTTCGCCATCTTTCAATGACATTGATAAAAACTTGATATATAAAGCTTGACAGATTGAAAATATTTTTTGATCAATTGTTGTAAGCTTTGATGTGGTTCGTTTGAGCTGCTGTTGGTGTCAAATGTGAGATAGGGTTCTTATCAATACATTGGACATTCTATAGAATTCAAATAAAATTCTTTATTTTGCCCAAAAACATTGAAAATTCGCAAAGTGGGCCTTTAAATAACAACAAATTGCAACTATTAAAGTTCTAAAGAGGTTTATAGTATGTGCATGTGTACTTTTATGGCCGGTGAATGTATAACTGAAACAAGCAAGTTGAGCCACCACCACATGTTATTATTTTTTATCATTGATTGTGTTAATATTTATTACATCATACATTTCATAAGTATGCAGTTTTTCATCACTGAGCATTTTTCAAGTGAATTTAGGCCAACAATTGAGACTTTAATCAAGGCATATAAAATCGAAACATCAACCTGTACGCACAAGTTGCACTATTTACAAATGTATGTAGTTTTATCACACAAATAATCGTTCAGTCGCAGTGTTTACTTAGTCCGTTGCATAGACTACACATCATCATGTAATATGCCATTGATAGCTTGTTTTCTATGATACATATTTTAAACAAGCTCGTTTAGTAAAGATATTTGAAGCATTTTCTTCAGAAAGCATTATACTGTGCATCAAAATCAAAAGTGCCAGCATGGTATTCAATAGACATGAGAATAATGATTCCCATTGACACTATCAAATAAATTCATTAAATTCTCAATAAGTAATCAATACTTAATAGTATGGTCTCATTCATGCTGTACCTTGTTTATTCTTTTGGTCAGAGAGTTTGAAAAAGAATTGAGATTTATATGTCAGTGCCTCAATGACAACAAATTAAGAAAATAAACAATAACATCATCCATTTCATTCATATGTAAGAATTTTTTGTAGTTTTATTTCCTTCAATTAAACACAAATTAATCAAATTACAACAAAATCAACTGTATAAAAATGATTAAATCTCATCATTTGAGAGATTGGACACACATTATGAAACATTAGAGGCTTAACATATTTGAGATTGAAATCAACATTGTCCTTGACTGTGTTCCTAGACATCCATGTCTGGTTCAACAAATATTCACTTACTGAAATAGATATCATATCTCATAAATTAAGATAAATATTGTCCGCACAATTTCAGATGGATATTGTGCTCACCAATCTATATCAACGTTCAACTCATCAATCTCATGTTCTAGAGCTTGCATTTCATGGAATACTTGAACATCCTGAGAATTGTCCTCCTCAATGGTGTCATGGGAATTATCCTCCTCACTGAATATAACACCTGATGGTACTTCCTGTTCACCTTCTATAAATGAATGATATTACTTACATGTAATAACCTTTTGAAGTATTTGGCTCCCTAAAGATTATAAGTTCCACTTTTAAATCTTTGACAGGGTGGGCCAATAAGTATACATTAATTCCAAGTTTTCCAACTCTACTTCATGAAATGTCTTTTTCTATGATTATTTATGTAGCAATATTTCTAAAAGTTGGATGATTTTTTTCATTTAAGTTCATATACTTATATCATTCTTTCAAATCTTTTGCATGTATATTAAAATATTGCTTCAAAGATTCAAATTCCTATGTCCCCTACCACTTGAGTTTGATCATGAACTAAATCTATTGTTCTCTCATTACCTGGCATTGCTGCATGTGGGCCGAATTCTGATGCAGTATTTGCCTCCTGGAAAGATGGAGTCTGTTCATTTGGACTGTCATCATAGAATGCAACTGGAATACCCTTGGTACGCTTAATACTGACAGCTAAAAAAATGTTCAGTATATATGTATATACATTTAGGCATTACACAATGTTTGGTTGTTAGTGTTAAGAAACGGCTCCTGTAACAATTTGCAAAACCTTACTTTTGTAATTTAGTTAGACGCTATTACAAAAAATGGTGGCCATTTTTAATTGAGCTCCCATATTTGAAATTCCTTTTATAGACATGCATTACCATATAAAATGTGGAGCAAATCGGATAACAGATTTATAAAAACATCAGTCTTTTGCATTGATCTCTAAGTCTATATTTTATCACATAGACTATCTCAATTTTGCAGAAAATATAATTAGGATTATGTGAGAGGGAAATGTAAGCATGTTTCTTGAAATGATTGCTTCCAACATTACTCTCTATTTACTTTTTTTTATGACAGAATTCCCACGAAATACATGGACTAAACATTCTTTTTTCCTGGTCAGATTAATAAAATATTTTACAATGCATGTTTTTCAACCAGGCATTAACATGCAAAATGTCACCACCTGCCATTTGTTACACATGTACAGGTGCGGAACACCAACTTCTAAATGCCAATCACCAACTCTAAACATGAACTACTGAGCAGCGAGCACAGTCCACAAAAAAGTTGGAGACTGTAACAATATGTCACCACTTGTTGTGTGACATAAAAATGTATGGAAAGTAATAGAATCAGCTCAATGTGCATGTAGGAGTGGATTTAAAGCAGACTTACAATAGAATTTTCTTTTTGCTAAATTACCTAGTCCCGCAGTTTGTAAAGGATCAGCTTCATCCAAATCTCCTAGCATTCCCTGTAACTCCTGCTCCACATCCAATAGGTCTATAAAACATGAATTCGTATCATACAGTACAATCAAAATCCTCTTGATGAGATAATTAAATAAATAGTTTATGGGGAGTTAAGTGAGGCCAATAAGAAACATTAGACAGACTGCTTGGTTCAGCAGTCATTTTGGCAATTCCTTCTTAAGTAATTTCCATGTCCATCAGGCATCAGCTTATAAAATTTGAACCAAAACCTTCTGTATTTGAGTTAAGATTACATTCTAACAAAAACTGGTGGTTGTTTTGAAATGAATGGTCATCTTGAAAATGCCTGTAAAATTTGGACCAAACTCTACGGACTCTCCACTCCATTTCTGGTGGTGACATAAAAACTTAGGGAAGCTGAAACTGACGCCAATACTTCTCAACATCAATTGCAACACACAATATCAAATTTAAACAAGGCATTATTAAAACCCGAGACCAATTGTCTCAATATCAGTTTAGGCCCTCATAAATGGATGAGCATTAGTTTAGGCAAAACGGGTTGAATTTGTCCAAAAATGAGAAACAAATGGAAAGAGGGTTTACTTACTCATGGGAGCCAAAAATAGCATTCTGATTCATCAGAGTCACTCTTAAACTCAAGCATAAGAGACTATTCCAAGGGATAGTATTGGCTGTGAACCCAACAATGCCAAAACAGCCTTACCTTCGAAATCACTCAGAGGAAATTCAACATCACCATCAGGAACAATCTGTGCTTTTTCTTTAGTTTTCTTCATTCTCTGTTTAGGTGCCTTGGGTTGAGATTTCTTCAAATGTTTTTTGAAATTGCGGCCACTGATGTACAGCTCATAAGGAAGCATATTCCTAAAAACATAATTAAATTGGCACTGGCTAATTTGTTTGATTTGATGTAATTTCATGGATTAGAAATGCCCGGAGCTGGTATATACAGTATATGAAATAGAACAATGTACATTTTTTACGATAATGAATGTTTGAAAAAATTGCTACTAATTAATCTTCAGAATTGGACACCATCCCTGACACAACTGGTTAAAACAAGACATTTAAAATAATAGGAAAATGTTACCACCTTCTAATTGTTACAGACACCGACTGCCAAACACCAACCACCATCCACAAAAAAGTTGGAGACTATAACAATATATCACCACTTCTTGTGGTGACAAAACAAGATATCAAGACAGTGTATGTGCAATTGTGCATGTATGAAGTTTTCTTCATTACTTCCGTTCTGTGGTGTAAAGGTTTAAAGCACTCTGGACTCCTGATGTCAAGATCCTGGGTTCACTCCCAGCTTGTGAGGACAGGAGCCAGCTTATGCTAACTAGTACACCAGAGAAGTTGATTACTAGAGTGATACTAGCTCAACTAGAAAAACAGCAACTCCAAGGAGTAGCAAATCCCACCGAACAAAACATATTATGCTTATTATAGCTAGTGTAAATGTTGAAATGGTTGTGCACTTTGTGATAGAAGCATGAAATTTGGTTCAAAGTTGATTTATACCATTGTGAACTAGGCATCATCATATAAAATTTGAACCAAATCCGTTCACTGGTATATGAGTTATCGAAGATTACGTTTTTTACGAAAATTGGCCGCCATCTTGGAATTCAGCCGCCATCTTGAAAATTATTTCTTGAACAGAGCTACTGTGTCCATAGGCATAAGCATATAAAATTTCAACCAAATCTGTTCACTGGTATTTGAGTTATCAAAGATTACGTTTTTTCCGAAAAATTGTAGCCATTTTGAAATTAAGCTGCCATCTTGAAAATTTTTTGTCGAACATAGCTACTGTGTCCCTAAGCATTATCATATAAAATTTGAACCAAATCCGTTCACTGGTATTTGAGTTATCAAAGATTACATATTTTTACGAAAAATGGCCGCCATTTTGAAATTAAGGGGCCATCTTGAAAATCTCTTTTTGTGCGAAACTCCTTTGTCCCTAGGCATCAGCATATAAAATTTGAACCAAATCCGTTCACTGGTATATGAGAAATCAAAAATTACGTTTTTTACGAAAATTGAGGCCCATCTTGAAATTCAGCCACCATCTTGAAAATTATTTCTTGAACAGAGCTACTGTGTCCCTAGGCATAATCATATAAAATTTCAACCAAATCTGTTCACTGGTATTTGAGTTATCAAAGATTACATTTTTTACGAAAAACTGTCGCCATTTTGAAATTAAGTGGCCATCTTGAACATTTTTGTCAAACATAGCTACTGTGTCCCTAAGCATCATCATATAAAATTTGAACCAAATCCGTTCACTGGTATTTGAGTTATCAAAGATTACATATTTTTACGAAAAATGGCCGCAATTTTGAAATTAAGTGGCCATCTTGAAAATCTATTTTTGTGCGAAACTCCTATGTCCCTAGGCATCAGCATATAAAATTTGAACCAAATCTGTTCACTGGTATTTGAGTTATCAAAGATTCAGTTTTTACGAAAAATTGCCGCCATTTTGAAATTAAGCGGCCATCTTGAAAATTTTTTGTCGAACATAGCCACTGTGTCCCTAAGCATCATCATATAAAATTTGAACCAAATCCGTTCACTGGTATTTGAGTTATCAAAGATTACATATTTTAACACAAATGGCCGCCATTTTGAAATTAAGCGGCCATCTTGAAAATCTCTTTTTGTGCGAAACTCTTTTGTCCCTAGGCATCAGCATTTAAAATTTGAACCAAATCCGCAAACTAGTATTTGAGTTATTAAAGATTACATTTTTTACGAAAAATGGCGGCCATTTTGAATTCAGTGGCCATATTGAAAATTCCTTCTCGAGCAGAGGTCCTACATCCATAAGGCATAACCCTATAAAATTTGAATCAAATCCGTGAAACAGTATTTGAGTTATCGCCCGGACAAACAGACGGACGGACGGACGGACTGCTTTCCTATATCCCTCTCGAACTTCGTTCGGTGGGATAATAAAAGGCCTGTGCTGGCTTGAACTGTCTGTGGTTCTAATCAGGATAAAGATACCAGTTCCTGTCAGATTAATACGAGGAGCTGTTTCTTCCTCAAGTTACATTATCCTACCACACGTATAAGCCCTATGGTGTCTATGTGAGATATGTAACTAAAATGAAAGTTACACTCTAGACTTTAATTGAATCTTGACATTTGCAATTGCACATTTGACATAATACTAGAGAGCTGTGGCCAAGAGATGCAAGTTTTTTTTTATTTAGTTTTTTTTATTTTTTATTTGCAAATTAAACATATATACAATATATTATAATACATGACAATATATCAATACACATACATAGTCTATTCAAATTTGTTTTAAAAAGATCTCTAAGCTATTTTTTAGAACAACATTTTTTTCACTCTTCATCATATCTAACTTGTTTAATATGTATAATTTCAGTCTTTTGATTACAGTGTTTTCAAAATTTATACTTTTGTATCTGTCCATATTATTTGAGTTATTAAAGGCCCCATATAAAGTTTAAACCACTTTGGCTTATATTGTAGTCTTACCCAATGTTATCAAAGTGTGATATGTGAAACTTTTTTTTTAATTTCAAAAAGTGGTTTTTGATAGACTTTTTGTTCCAAAATTTGTGAATTTATTTAAAACCAACTTTTAGAGGTCACTCATATCTTCTAATTAGCCACAATTCATACCAATGCATAGCATTCATCCTCCCATGTTTTTTGCCGAAAAGATTAAGAAAATCGGTTCATAAATAAGCGAGAAATGAACTTATCAGTGCATGAAAATGGTTCTGAGAAAAATGCATTTCAAAATTTTAGTTCTCATAGAAACCAATGGTACAATGATATCTAAAACATAATTTATTCTTCCTTTTAACCTGGTTAGACAATCAACATTGGTTTTTCATGAAAGTCTAACATATTTAGAAAAGATTGACATCGAAAAAAAAATTTCAATTTTTTTCAAAAAGTTTTTGGTACCTTAGTGACATCACTAATGTTTCAAAATATTTTTGATATGTTAAAACATTGAAGTGGCCCATTAAATGTGGCATTTTATTATTGAAATAGTGTGTCTTTTGTTCAACCTTTGCATTGGTGTTAAAAAGATAATCTTTTTTGAAATGCATTAAGAAATATTTGATGATTAAGAAATTTCAACTTTTTTGAAAAATGGCGGGAAATTTGAATATTTGAGAAATGAAATACTCACAACTTTTTTCAAAAATTTTTTTTTGTTCAAAAATCTCTAAAATCACTTTTTAAGTCCTGACAAATAGTAAATGAATGATAAAAAAATATTTTCAAACTTTAGACGAAGACTTTAACCCAATTTGAATAAATTGTGTATCCCACTATTGTGAGAAGTTTCTTTATCAATTTATTCAGAATATACTGCTCATCAACAAAAACTCCATCTTTATAAAAATCCTTTATATAGATAAACCCACTTTTTATCCTTTTCCCTTGTTGCTCACTAATTTTTCATTTAGCCAAGAGATGCAAGTTGATGCAGCCATACAGAGTTCAAATCATGATAAAGTAATAATAAATCTAATCATAATAAAGCTTGGTGAAATTCTCTCGCTGTTATTAAATCTTAAATGTTTTAAGTTCAACTTATTACAGACTTTTCAACAGACTTTGATAGAAATGATCTTTTCTAAAATTACATAAGCTTGAAAACTGAAGAAATGTTACAGTGAATGAACTGCCTTTTAACTGAAGAAGTCATGCAATTAGTTTTTCAAATTTGTCATACTCTTTAAGGGAAAGTAAATTTTATCAAGTTTTGGGATTTTCTGAAAAAAGAGAAAAAGATCCAAGTTATTGATTTCGGAAGTTACATTATGAATCAAATATATTTCAGGGTTATATTGGGTGAAAATTGCATTGCAGAAAGGTGACCTTTAAAGGAATCTGCCTAATGTTATGGTCTAATTTGATTTGAATTTGGAATACAGGGTGTCACAAAGAAGTATACCCAAATGAGACAGGAATAACTATCTCAAAGGTATTCAGTCCAATTATGGTCTAATTTGATTTGAATTTGGAATACAGGGTGTCACAAAGAAGTATACCCAAATGAGACAGGAATAACTATTTCAAAGGTATTCAGTCCAATTATGTTCTAATTTGATTGGAAATTGGAATACATGGTGTCACAAAGAAGTATACCCAAATGAGACAGGAATAACTATCTCAAAGGTATTCAGTCCAATTATGTTCTAATTTGATTGGAAATTGGAATACAGGGTGTCACAAAGAAGTATACCCAAATGAGACAGGAATAACTATCTCAAAGGTATTCAGTCCAATTATGATCTAATTTGATTGGAAATTGGAATAGAGGGTGTCACAAAAAAGTATACCCAAATGAGACAGGAATAACTATCTCAAAGGTTTTAAGTCCAACGATGTTCATATCTACACATCCTATATCTATAGATTCTGACAGATTTTCAAACACTCATTATCTGATTTGATTTTTTAGTCAAATGATATTCAGATTATATTCTTAGTCTTATTTATCAACCGATTTTTCTACACTATTTTATTTGATTGGAAATTGGAATACAGGGTGTCTCAAAAAGATATACCCAAATGAGACAGAATTAACTTTTTTTATGAATCATACTTTTTTATTTATTTATTTATTTATTAATTAAAAAATTGAGCTTTTCTGGTCTAAATGACTTTTATCATGATAGATGCAAAACTGAATACTCTAAGAGCGAGGAGGGAAATTCTTAATAAATGGAGTATAGTTGGTTTGGCAGCATTTTCAGTTAGAAGGAAGTCTTGGATGAAAATTCTACCTAGGTGATAGCTTCACAGAGTGGTACATAATTCTTTTTTTTCAGGGATTAGCCCCC